AACTCTCTTGCTTTTGTGAATTAAGGTTCAAACAACAGGTTTTGTCACTCTCTGGCAGTGAACTTAGCTCCCAAAACTGAAGCTTCCCCTCCCCCAGAAGGCCTATCCTGTTGAGTTTACCCCACACCTCCTTTGGCATCGGCAGGCCCCTGTGAAACTTGTGGTATGAAGCAGCAAAGCAGAAAGCCCACTTTGTGGGTGGCCTGGCTCTCATGACAAAGAGAAGAAGAAGGTGGGCTTCACGTGCCAAAATTACACACCAGGAAACTTGCTAGTAGCACTGGAATATAGTATCGAGCTTTATGTTAGTGGCACCCCTTCTATACTTCAAGAAACATCTGATGTGGGAAAGAAGTGTTTTCCCCTAAAACAGAGAAATAGAATTACAAGAAACAGTCTCTCACATTTAAGAAATATTTATTGAGCTGAAATTTCTGAGCTAGGTTTGCTGGGAGATTCATAAGTGAATCAGAGCTGGATGCTGCCTGACAAGCAACGATTAATATTTCTAATATATTCATATATGTTAATGCTACATATTTTAGATTTTTGTTACAGCAGTGCCCTACTTCTGGTACCAATTTTTGTATCAGTATAGGTCAGGCTTTGTTTGCTACCAAAAACCCCCAAATATCTCAGTGACTTAGCACAGCAGAGATGTATTTCTCATCCATACAATCATATGTGTTAGCCTGGAGCTCTTTTCCACTTGTACTGACTCTAGGACCCTGGCTGATGGAAGCAGTCACCATCTGAAACATTGTTGGGGTGATATATTAAAGAAGGCCACAAATTTATTGTCACTCTTCTCCTCAGTCCCCATCAAGAGGTGGAGTTTATTTCCCCCTCATTGAAACTGAGCTGTCTCTCTGACTGCTTTAACCAATAGAATGTGTTATTTCCAGGCCTAAACTTACAAAGACCTGGAAGCTTTTATACTTTTGAGAGTTCTGAGCCACCATGTAAGAAGTCAGGCTACTCTGCTGAAGAAGCCACATGAAGTGAGGCTGAGGGATAACACTGGGAAGAAGAAAGGCTCAACCATTCTAGCATCCCAGTTGAGCCTCCAAATTACTCTAGCCCCAGAAAATACCCGTCTGGAACCACACGAGAGACTCCAAGCACAAATAGACAATTGCCCATAAGCCCACTCAATCCACAAAACCATTAGAGATAATAAAATGTTTTAAGTCACTAAGATTTGGGGTGGTTTGTTATGCAGCAAGAGATAAAACATTCCATCACTGTACCAAAAGGAAAGAGAGCATGAGAAATTGTGCAGGGGTTCTTAAAGCTTTTGCTTGGAAGTGACACAGATCACTTCCAATCACATTTCATTGGCCATGCTAAGTTTAAAGGAATATGGAAATGCAAGTCTACTGCACATGTGTGGGAAAAGAAATGGAAATATTTGGTGGGTAGTACTAATATCTCCCAGAAGTAGGTTAGGGCTAGAGAGGTACCTCTTCCATAGAGACGACAAGTAAATCGTAAGTATGTCAAGGAAAAAAATTAACAAAGAGAAAAAAACGTAGACAATGATAGATGCTTGTAGATGACCTCTGGGCAAAGTAAGGATGTATCTAAGGAGGAAAAGGAGGGTGCAAAGGAGTCAGATAAGAAACATCTACAGAAGCAAAAGGAGAAATCTTAGAACCCAAAGGAGAGTTTTCAAGAACAGAATAGTCAAGAAGAGCATAAAATAAACAGCCAACATGGGTGGTATGGGCAAGGAATGTATAGAAACTCAAAGAAGAAAGAGATCGGAGTGGGCTGATGTAGTCACAGGCCTGGGACAGAGGCAGAATTAGAGAAGGAATTGAAAGGTAACAGAATTTGGATGGTTAGAAAAGAGAGAGAAAGGTACTCTCAGTGAGAAAATAGCATGAGTAAAGTCTTGGAGTGGGGAATGAACCCAGCAATTGGAGGGAATGGGACTTGGTATTGCAAAGTGAAACTTATCACTGTAAGAGAGGGTATGTGTTACACAGGAGTAACAGATAAATTGGATTAGATTTGCTGCAGAAGGGGAAGTCAGGGAAGCCATTTGTGGATTTATGGAGGCCTTTGAGTGCCCACTGAGATTTCTGAGTTGTCTCTTAAATACTGAGTACCACTGGAGATAGATATCTGAGAAAAAAAAAAAAAGGTATATAGTACTAGTCCCCTCATCCAGGAATGAAGGAGGGAAAGACAGAGCAGGCGACCAGTAGGTAATTTATTGTACTATTCAAAGCAGGAGTATCCTACTGGAAGAGATTGTTACCTAGGGGGTAAGAAAAAGGAAGAACTTCCTTGAGACCAGCTCATGGGGCTTAGAATGAGAATAAGTTGCTCAGAGACTCAAAAAAAAGAAAAAGAAAGAAGAAGAAGAAGAAGGGCTTCAAGTGAGAAGTTGAGATATTTTATCAAGGATACAAAAAATGTTTAACTTTTTACTTCCTATGGCAAACAATGTTGGTTACCTACCCAACATTCTCCATCCCACTTTCTTGACAACAGAACTACAACACTGCTCAATTCCTCTCTTCCCTCCAAACTAATTAAGGAAAAGAAATCTATACACACATAATTCAGCTCCAAGGTAAATCCTAATTGGTCTAAGCCAGTTGTTCTCAACCAGTATCATCTCTCCAGGGAGTGGTGTGTGGGGTAGACAGAAAGAAGGTTGTTTCTTTGATGTCACAATGCCTGGGGTGTGCTACTGACATTTAGTGGGCAGGGACCAGAGATGTTAAATGTCCAGCAGTACATGTCACAGTTCTCCATAAGGATTGCCAAAAGCCAGATAAACACTGACCAGTCATGGTAGTCCCCTGCTTCTTGTCAGTTACTGCTTTAGGGAATAGCTGCTGACCCAGTTCCAGTCAATAAGATACATGGAGTTTACTGCTGTGACGCCTCTGGGGTGGTTTCTTCCTGCCTGCTGATGTTGTCCCAACTGTATGATACCTGGGACTGCTACAGCCATCTTCTCCCCAAAATCAGTTTCTTCCCAATCTCCCTGTTTCCATCACTGGCACCTCCATTTCCTGTCACCTTAAAGCATTTTGACTTCTCCCAACCATTAACCCCAGGATGATCACTCATTCAGGTTTTACTCCTGTTCTCCCAATGTAATTAATAGTGCTCCCTTTCACTTCTAAAGTATTTCAGATTGGAGGAGGACAGATTATATGGTCACTTATTCTCAAATTCTGTTCACTCTGCCTCAAGAAAGTACCTCTAAAGCAGGGGTCAGCAAGCTATGACCTGTAGGCTGTTTGTGTACCTCCAGAGAGCAAAAAAATGATTTTTACATTTTTTAGTGTTTGAAAAAAATCAAGAGAATGATATTTTGTGACACCTAAAATTAAGATTTCAGTATCCTTAAAAAGTTTTATTGGAACATATTCATGCTCCTTCAAGCATCGTCTATTGCTGCTTTCTCACTACAAGGCAGAGCTGAGTAATTATGACAGACAATGCCTAAAACATTAATGTTTGACCTTTTATAGAAAAGCTTGCAGACCCCTGCTCTAATGCCACCATTAGTTCTGAGTTTCCTCACTTCTTGCACAAATACAGTAGCCTACTAACTGGCTTCCCATTCTTTTCCCCACTCCGATCCTTCATACGCCTGGTAGATAATCTCTCAAGAGAAGAGTTCTGATCCTGTCACTTGCCCCTTCAATATCTTCAGTGGCTCCTCCAAAAAACCGGCAATATAAAGTCCAAGCCTATCCCTTGATACTAAAGACTGCAACCTAGTTTTCCAGACTTTGCTCCTCTTCACCACTTAACGCCCAAATGGACCACTTGCTGTTTCCCTAATAAGCACTCTTAGCTCATACCATACGCCTCCATTGCTTCGCACGTCTCTCCTCCATCCCATCGACTCCTCAAGATTAAATGAAAACCGCTACTCCCTAACACACTTTCATTCATTCATCACAGCAGGCAGTACTTGGGGGCGCGGGGAGCAGACTTAGCGACACAAAGAGAACAGACTAGGGCAGGAGAGAACACGTCAAACGAGTTAAGCAAAGTGAGGGGCCCAGAATGAGGATTCAGAGGTGACATTTACGCCGGAATTTTAAGGACTGTGAGAGGCTAAAAGACTCTAAAAGACCCAGAAGTTTAAAAAGAAATTGTAAATAAAGGTAAATGAGCGAATAGAAGGACCACCGCATCCTATCCACCTCCCTATCGCCGCAGAGGTTATGATTTAAGGAGTAAGCCCACCTTTAGTCTAAAACCTGAAGGAAAATTCTACAAGAGCAGCCTCAGCCAGCCCCACCAGGGAAGTAGTGGGTGCTCGGCGCCAGGGCAGACAGCACGTAGCTGCCTGGTACCGCACAGCCCGAAGGCGGGCTCCGTGCGCTCTCTCCGCGCCGGAGTCTCCAACTCGTCCCCAAACTTCTGGGCGGGAGCTCTGACTGGCTTCCGGACAGGCGCGACGGCGCCCGAGGGAGAAAGGGACGCCCCTAGCTGGTTGGCGCCAGCAGTTAAAAGCGTCGCGGCCTCCCACAGGCCGCCAGCCTTCGCCCTTAGAAAGGCGCCCCGCCTCCGCGGCCGCCTCACTGCACGTGAAGCTCCCGCGCTGCGTGAGAGCAAAGAGGCAGGAGTTCTCAGACGCGAACACAGGCCTGGGGAGGGAAGCGACTCCGGGGCGCACGCGCACAGCGAGGGGGCTGGGCGGAGCGTGCCTCCCGGAGGGGTTGCGGAGGAAAGGAGAGCGCGTGGCGCTCCGGAACCCGCGCACGCGCTGTAGTCTCGCCCAGCCCGTGCGCGCGCGCGGCCGGCGCAGCGTCTTTTCTTCAGGCCCGCCCCCCTCTTCTACTTCAGCAAGCGGAGGCGCTGAGCTAGAGCAGGGAAGTGTGGGACGAGGTGGGCGGGGCGTCGCCCGCGAGAGCGGCCCGCAAAAGAAGGGAGGGGCAGGGAGAGATCCAAGACAACGTTACCTCGTCAACACCCAATCGGGAGGCAGTCTGACCCCGCCCCCTCCCCTCACATTATTGGCTGGGAGGCCCCAGATGGGCGGGGCGCGCCGTGGGGTTGGGGAGGGCAGGGGGCGGGGAGGAGGAGCAGGCGCTGGCGGGCAGTGATGGCGGCGGGTGATGGGGACGTGAAGCTAGGCACCCTGGGGAGTGGCAGCGAGAGCAGCAGCGACGGCAGCAGCGAGAGCCCGGGCGGCGCGGGAGCGGCAGCAGAAGGGGGCGGCTGGGCGGCAGCGGCGTTGGCGCTTCTGACGGGGGGCGGGGAGATGCTGCTGAACGTGGCGCTGGTGGCGCTGGTGCTGCTGGGGGCCTACCGGCTGTGGGTGCGCTGGGGGCGGCGGGGTCTGGGCGCCGGGGCCGGGGCGGGAGAGGAGAGCCCCGCCGCCTCCCTGCCTCGCATGAAGAAGCGGGACTTCAGCTTGGAGCAGCTGCGCCAGTACGACGGGTCCCGCACCCCGCGCATCCTGCTCGCGGTCAATGGGAAAGTCTTCGACGTGACCAAAGGCAGCAAGTTCTACGGCCCGGGTGAGGAGGAGTTGGACGGGGAGGGGGAGGACCCCCTGCAGCTCAAACGCGACCACGTTCTGATGGGGAGGCCCCTGGGCACCGGGTTAGTTTGCCGAGGCTTCTCGACGTCTGGACCCCCGCGCCTTGCCTGCGGCACCTGGGACGGCCCACACCACACCCCCACCCCTCCAGCAGCGGGACCTCCAGCTTTTCCCCCGAAGTCGGGGTCCCAGTGTCACCCCAGGAGCCAGCTCTCAGCTTTCGTCTTTCTCCCATCCGATTTCTCCTCGCAGCCTTTTCTTGTGCCGAATTTTTCAAAATCCTTTTAGTTGTCGCCAGTCACGCTGGCCCTCAGCCTTTTCTGATCTTTCTGATTCCTACTATGGGTGGGGACAGGGGGAGAGAAAGTTCCAAAGTAGGGACCTCAAGTTTTAGGCCCTGTAATTCGCAGCTTTCCTTTCTTTACTCTTTTTTGCCACTGATCTCCCTTTTCCCTCTACTGCTCCCCATAAGGCCACGTTTAGGTACACGTAGTTCCAAGTCCCAACCCTCTAGTCTGTGAAGCACGGGCATATAAGCAACACTTCACACTCTTGTTTTTTTTAAAACCAGTTTTAGTATGGAGATGCTTTCCAAGATTAACAGTATATGTGGGATGAGGACAGAGCAGAATCCAGATCTTAATAAAGACTGGCAAGGGTTTTCGCCTGAGTTTTGGGGGCGGAGCTCATATACCCAGCAGGCGTGCCTGTTTGGTTTCTTTCTTGGGGGTTGGGGACGTAGTAGGGAGACAAGTATTCAAATTCAAATGCACGTTCATAATGACTTCTTGTGTTTTCACTGAGGAGAAAAAACTTAAAAGAGCTATAAATTCATACCCCCGTTCACCAGTCCTGCAAGTTAAAGATTTTTAGGACTTTGCTTTCAGAGAACTGTGTATATAGGGTAGTTGGTTTAGAAACCATTCTTTTACAATGTAGTTATTGCCTATATTTCAGATTATGCTCATAAACTTCAGACTTACGGAACTTGTTGGTGTAACGTAAAATTGAGCAACATGGTACATCCTGGTTGTGTAGTAATTAATTCCAAGCTTAAAAAAAAAGTGACTACAATAAAAAATAAATAATAAAATTAGAGACCTACAGTGACCTGTTATTTGAAAGAGAACATCCAAGCCTTTAAGTCAAGGGGGTTGACAGGTCCAAAAACAAGTTGGTTTCCTCCTTTATTTAATTTATAGTGCATGAGATTCATTGACACTTGCAAATATATACTTCTGATTTCAGGGCTTGGTGGCTGGAAAATATTTTAGAAGTGCTTTGGTTTGTTGGTTGCTAATTGGAATAGAGATAAGAAATTGAAGATTTTATGTGTTGAATTATTTATTTTTTAGTTGCTTGTATTTTTGTGCGTACATCCACATTCAATCCAAGTCGTAGACAGCTTGTAAAGTATTTGTTTCTGGTTATATAAATATGAAAACCAGATGTCTACCTACTTATGTCGGCTGAAATGGTGAACACTTTTTTTGTTTACCTAACAGTGTGTAGGGCAAGAGAATAGGGCCAAAGTACAGTATTTAAACAGACAGACCAAATTAAATAGTTAATTATTTTTTAGTGAAGGATTTACACAGTGTTTTGTGCCTGGTTAAAGCTTTTTCCCCCATTGATGTTAGAATGTGTGTTCAGTGATTAGAAATTGTGTCCAGATTTAGAGTTTTAATACAGAGCTTACTCAACTGAAAGATCTGCCTTTGTCCCCCCATCTAAACTGACAATGAGCAAACATTAGTGCGGAGAAGCTTATTAGTCCCTACACATTATGCCTTGCCACACTATCTGAAAATAGCCAGAGAGACAGTTATACACACAGTTTGGCATCCTCCAGTGGCATATGTTCTGCAACAGAAATTAAAAATTAAGATAAGAGTCATAGGTGTAATGTCGGTAGCCTTTCTGTGGTTTGGGCAGTGAGGGGTCTCTTCAGGTAACACGGAGAAGTCAGCGTTAGGTTAGCTTCCACCAATTCCCAGTTCCCGATGAACAGCCCGAGTGATATTCAGGTATTTTATTCTAGGTATTTATTGATCAACAACGTAATACAGATATCTGGAGTATTTTATTACTGAAAGGAACCTTAAAGGTAGCTAGATTGTCTACGGACTTGGAATTGTTAATCATCATTAGTGGAAGATGTAGCACTTTCCAAAAGAAGCCAAATTTCTGGCTATGAAACAGATTTAAGTTTTGGTTTTAATTTTTATTTTCATCCTCAAATCAATCAAGCAACTTTGTAGCAGAATAATTCAGAAGCAATAATCCTTATCTGAGAATCTGAGTAGCTTGAAAGAATGAGCTAAGGGACCCAGAAAACCTAGTTTCTCTGCAGAGCCAATATCTACTTGCATTTCACAATAATGGTTTTAGAGTTAAAGATTCTTTTGTGAGGTTTTTTCTATATTGAAGATATTTTTCTTTTTATTGATAAATTTTTAGAGTTCAAGTTCTTAAAAAATTACATATTGACAGTTTAGTGGAGTAAACACATTTTGGCAAATGGTTGGCGTTAACTATATTTGTTAATATTAAATTTAGTAACAGTTTAGGCACTTGGCCAGCATGTGAGGAAAGTGGTCATGTAATAACAATGAATACGGGAGGAGAAAGGAAACTAGATTTGTTAAGCACCTACTACGTCAGATCCATTAATTTGTCATCTCTGCAATGCCTCAGTGAGGATAGTAAGTATTCCTGTCCTTTAGATGGGGAATCTGAGGTTTAGGTATTTTGGGTAAATTGGCTTGGATCACACATACATGGCATTCAAATCCAGATATATTTGACCACGAAGCTTATCTATGCTATTCAGGTAAACTGCATCTGGGATAAACTTGTAGAGAATCTTACTGTTGTTTATTATACTCTCCCCTGGTTCCCGTAGATTTAAAGCCTCAAAGAAATAGACTTTCGTGGCTTTGTGTTGTGCTGTCCAGTATGGTAGACACAGGCTACATGTGGCTTTTTAAATTTAAATTAATTAAATATAATTAAAATTGAGTTCCTCAGTCACACTAGCCACATTTCAAGTGGTCAGTAGCCACATGGCTGCCTTATTAGATAGTGCGCTTTATAGAGTATTTCCATCCTCCCAGAGAGTTCTGTTCAACAGCACTGAATCTAGAGGTCAGGATAGAAGGAGGAGGAAACTCTATTGATTGAGCTTTATCTCATTTAATTCTCCAACAGCCCTAGGAGATAAGTAATGTTCCCAATTTACAAATGTGGAAACTGAAACTCAGGTTTTGCCCAAAGTTGCCTATCTAGTAAGTGGGAAAGCTAGAAATCAAACCCAGTCTAAATGACTTGATGGGCCTTTCCTTCCCATTGTATCACAACATAATACAATTTCCCTTGTTTTCAGAGTCATAACAGATTAGGAAGACTTAAACAGATAGTATGATTTTAAATAATTTGATTTAATGTTACTGCAATGGAACTCTACCAGAGCAGTGTTTCTCTTTCTTCTTTGGAATGGCAAGAAATTATACGATTGACCTTTCTGATAGTTTATCCCACGTTTCTCAAATTTAGATATATTGCTTCCCCCTTATTTCATATATTCTGTGACATATACCAAAACTGTATTTTTTCCGACTTATATTTTAAATTCCACTGGAAAGAAAAAGAAGTCAAGTACCCCATGAGATGCCTAATATTTAGGAGGTTGGGGAGAGGAGCATATGTACCTTTCAAGTAATTTTCCTCCTTTTTTAACTGTATTTTCAATATGTTAACTATTATTATAGTTTACAAAATTGCTGTTGAAGCGAGAGTTGCAACATATAGACTCGGTCCAACCTGACTGTTTCCTTAATGGATATTCCAGTGACAATACCTAGCTCTTATCCCAGCGTCTTGTTTTGAATCTGGCTCGGTCTTTTGTTTGGGCTAATGTCCATACACATCCATTACCTACCAGTAAGATAAAAGGATCAGTTAAGTTTTTTGATGAATTTTGATACACTGCCCAAATGTATACTAGTTTTTTCTACAATACCTACTTGGTTGGGTTCTCTGAGTTCAACATTATTCTGTTGTTTTTAATCTTTGAGGGAATTGTACTTGTGTTAAATACTAACACAGAGTATAAAAGGGTAGCTTAAAGCAGCATGTATGAGACCAGAAGATGTTATTCAAGCTGGAAGAAAGGAGTAGGTTTCGTAGCATCTGGAGTTAGCCATTCAAGTTCTTTTAGTAGTTCCTTCAATCTGTGACACAGACCACTCCTCCCCCGGGTACCCTGTGACAGACATCACTGAATAACCGCTGTACTCTTAGAACCTGCATCCTGTCTCATGATCTTTAATATAGCATTTCAGCTCCTTTTTTAAATACTAAGAAGAAATTGCCTAGATTTCATTACAGTGTTACTTAAATAAGATGTTGTGAGAAATGAGAGTTAACTGAGTCTCCAAACAAATGCGTCCCTAATCTCATGGAGTTTGTGGTCTGTTGAGGAAAACAGACAATAAACAAGCTTTCAATACATAATTATAATTAATCTGTAATTAAATATGCTATGAAAGAAATGAATAGGATACATAATAGAGGATAACAGAGGACTTTATTTACATTAGGTGGTTAAGAAAGTTACCTTATTTAGTTTGTCAAGAAAAGGAGGTTGACCCTTAAGCAAAGACCTGAAGAAGCCAGCCATACGAAGATTGGAAGTGAGGATGTTTTGGAGCCATCTCGCACTAGGTCTGGAACTGATCACGTTGTGTTACTTGGCAGAGAAAGAAACATCCTTATCGCCTTGACTGATTTTCAGATTTGACTTCAGCCTTTGTTTGATTGGTATTACCTCAGTGTTTCTTTTCCATCCTTTTACTTTCAGCCAATCTGCGTTACGTTTTATTTTTTCCTTATAAAAAACATATAGCTGGATTTTTTCATTAAATCTAATATCAACACTATGTCTTTTAACTGCTTAATCGGTTTATGTATTTTGTC